AGTTTTACTGGCTTATATTCTTTATATTGGTCTTTATCTTTCAGCCCACTATAAGATTATTGATTCTAAATTCTTTTAATATATAATTATATTTTTTTACTTTTTTTTTTTTTTTTTTACTTCAGCAATCCTATCTTTATTTTATTTATCAGAAGTAGATTATAAAAATACTCTCAGCTAGCTAGGTTTATATGCAAATCGCTAAACTACTATATTCCTGTACAAATAAAGATTCTCTCGATCTGTCTCATTATCATAGTAAAAATCACAGCCGAAGCCCAAAGTTTTTACACTAGAGTATGACCCAGGAGCGACCTGCCTAAGTGACAATTTTCTTCTTTTCGGGATTCTCAACTTACTGAGAATATGAGCTTCGGACATCAACAGATAGAAGCACTGACCTTGTCAGAATCACCGCTCTACAATAGAGTGCCACCAATCTGATGACACTTTCTCGTAGAGAAGTAAAAAAGAAAAAAAAAAGGGTAAGGGCAAAATGAAAATAGGGAAAGTAAAAAAAAGAAAACAAATAAGAAGACGACCAAAACATAAAAGAATCTAAAAAACTATCCTAAAATCTAAAAAAACTTGTTTACAAATATAAAAACCTGCTAACTAGGTGAAAAACTATCTATATGGTTGTAGAAATCTATACATAGAGCTATTTGACAAAAAGAAAACTAAGAACTACAATGCACTTTAACCTGTGCCAAGGGCTAAAAATTATATGTATATGACTTCAGAATATTGCATATCTCTAAAATATCGCTCCAGTTTACAACTTTCATGGAATCCATCTTGAATCCTAGAATGCCGATTTTAAAGCTTCGACACGTGATCATTGGTTCTATTTATACCGAGCCACTCTTTCCAGATTATAAAATCCTCTAACAGTCTTCAGCGTCTTGCTTTTTCATTATACAAGATTAAACAGGGGTCTTCCCTATAGTCTACTGGCATCATTGGAAGTTACTCTCTCAGGTTCATCGTATAGGACCTTCATTCCTGTATAGTCATAGCTGATCCAACACAGAACTTCCATGTACTTCGATTTAACTCAAATAGAACTTTCTCCTCACATGTGATTGTTGTATTCCTCATTTGTCATATCATAACTCGAGACCTTCTGAAAATAGAAATGTAAACAATGCTGATCTTTTGAAGGGGGTAGCCAAATCCCTCACTTTTTGTCGAAAATTATGAAAAAAAAAAAATGGAGATGAAAAGTATAGTTTTGCAAGTTTTTTAATCAAAGAGTATTGTTCCAAGAGTTCTTCATAGCCTTCTGTTCCCAAAATAACTTTAGCCTTCTTTCTACTTACTGTTCCCAGAGACTCCTCCGGTTTGGATACTGAACGCAAAGAAGAGTCCACCCAAGAGAATTAGCAAAAAGAGCTTGACCCCTTTGCAAACTATCCAAAATACCTGCTTCTTGATGTATCATATTTAAGACTTCGTCGACAACAGTTCGCAGTAAGAAGGCTTCAAGTTATTTGTTCACTTCTGGTTTTGAGTCTTCAACTTGCTTTTAGAAACTGGTTGATACAAGTGATCGTTGAGGAGAGTTGTTAATATATAATTATAATTTAATATTTTACTAGCTTATATATTAATTTTTTATTTTAATTTATAATTTTAAATTATTATTTTACTAACTTATTAATTTTTAATTATAGATTTAATTTAATTATTTAAAATTTTAACTATGCTACCTAAATGTAAAACTCTTTCTACTCCTCCACATATTACTGATGATGAATATTATAAAGAACTTTCACTACCAAAAACACAAGCTAAAAAAGCTAGAAGATTAGATAGAAAAAGAAAAACTATTACTAAATAGTATATATCTATATCTGCAATATTAGTTTCAACAACAAAAGTAGCAACAACAGCAACAACAATAGCAGCAACAATAGTACCAACAATAGCAACAATGACAGAAACAACAACAGCAGCAACAATAGCAACAACAACTATACTAATAGTATCAACATCTTTTATAGCACCTTTAGCAAATTTAGAATTAGTATCAATATCAGGTGGATCACAATCATTTATTTCAACAATATTATTAACTAAAATTGCAAAATCAACATCTTTAGAATCATCATCAACTTCAATAGTAACTCAAAAAGAAAAAAATCAAAATAAATTACAGCAATAGAGAAATAATTTAATACCAACAAAACGTAGTGAAATACGAGAATTAGATAAAATTCAGTATAAAAATTATAGAACAACAAATTTGATTCAACAAGCAAATAGATATAGAAATATTGCAAGATATAGTTTGGATGATTTTAATTTTGAATTAGAAGATAGCTTTAATCTTTCTACAGTATTTGGCAACATAAACTTAGTAATTTGGATATTAGATATAATTATTGTCAAGCTTTAAAGTAGAAAAATGAATCACCAGGGTTTTGCTGCCTTAATGGTAAAATTAAATTAGCATTATTTGAACCACCTTCACTAGCTATATCACAGTTATTAACTAGATTTGATATTACTACTAGTGAGAGATATGTTCAAAATATAAGGTCCTATAATTCTGCTTTTGCTTTTATATCTTTAGGTATAACTACAAATCGTAGCATATTTGAAGTAGGCAAATCTTATATTTTTAGAATTCAAAAAGCTTTATATTATAATATAGGTTCTTTAATATCACCAAGTGAGTAGTCTAAATTTGCACAAATTTATTTCTATGATGATAATTTTGATATCCAGTTTGCTTTAAGGAATGAAGTATTTTTAAATTTAATTTGGATATAATGAGATCTTTGCAAGCTGAACTTGATCATATTAATCCTTTTGTTTAAATATTTTAAAGTGCTAGACGGCAGGCTACAAGAAATCCTGCTTTAAAATTAAAATTTTCTAATATATCTTCTCAAGATATGAGAAATTATAATTTACTAGTTGTTTCTAAAATTGCTGCTATAATTACTAATGATGATACAATTGATTTTGGTAGAGATATTATTCATACTACACAACAGGGTTCTTTGTGATATATCTCAGAATTACATAATGCTTATAATCCTTTACAGTATCCACTTCTTTTTCTAAGAGAAGAGTATGAATAGCATACTGGAATTATATATTCAACTGCAACTGATCAGAGTTCTAATACTAATGATGATTTAAATTTTAATTATAATCAATTAAATATTTTACTATTAGATCCTACTGATTCCTAGCAACAATGAAATATGTAACAATTAGAGAATTCGCATGTCATAGATTACAAATAAGAGATCCTAATAGCATTTTATATCTTGCTAGTCGCTTATTTTAGCAATATATCATTGACCAGTATGCAAAATAGAAGCAAAATAATTTAAAGTGGTTTAAAAATAATTAACCTCAATTACAGGTTGAATATTATAAAGAATTAGAAGATATCATTAATAATGATAAAGCTAATCCTCTTGAAATTGAAAAAAAAATTATTTTGCCTTTTTTATTTACTGGTTCAAAGAGATATATGTAGCAGTTATATCAGGATGCTATGGCTACTGTAAGAGAATTTGGTAAGCCTGATCTTTTTATAACTGTTATCTGTAATCCTAACTAGTCTAAAATAACTGAGAATCTTCTACAAGACCAAAAATCTAATGATCATCTTGATATTATTTCAAGGGTCTTTAGATTGAAGCTTAAAGAAATCACTGATAATTTGTATAAAAAAGATGTTTTGGGCCTTAGTATGGCTCATATCTATATTATTAAATTTCAAAAATGAGGATTACTACATGCTCATATACTTATTATACTTACTACTGAGAATAAACTACAAACTTCTGATGATTATGACAATTTGATTTCTGCTGAAATTTCTAATTCAATTACTCAACCTTAGCTTTATCAAATAGTTACTAAACATATGATTCATAGTCCTTGTAGTTTTTTTAAATCATCTTCTCCCTATATGAAAGATAGTGCATGTAGTAAACGTTATCTACGTGATTATAATAGTACAATCATTGTGAATAAAAATGGTTATCTACTTTACCGTAAAAGAAACACTGGTTATAAGGTCAAAAAAGCTGGTCACAATCTTGACAATAGATGGGTAGTTCCATACAATCTATTTTTTTATTTAAAATATAATTGTCATATTAATGTAGAGATATGTTCTAGCATTAAATCTGTTAAATATCTTTACAAATATATTTACAAAGATCCAGATAGAGCTGTTGTTTCAGTTGAAAATTAGGATAATGATGAAAATAATGAGATTGAAAATTATTTTGATACTAGATATGTTTCTGCTTTAGAAGTAGTGTTTCTATGAACTGAACTGAACTGAACTTTTGGCCAAGTTCAAGTTCAGTTCAAAATTGAACTGAACTTG